ATTTCCCACCCGACTTCGCCCTGCTGTTTTCACTGTGTCACTTATCGTGTCCACAGATAGGAAAACCCAGATGCCGACATCCTGTCGCGATTTGAGATGGATGTTGCGAGCAAACTCCGTCCACACAAGTCCATGTCAAACCATAATCAAACTGTGCAGATCAGACCTCCAAATGTTTTGCCATCTGAACGCTTCATTTTCGTCTGAAACATTTTTCGTCCATTACCGACAAAACGGAGCCGGAGAAAAGGGGAACTGGAGCGGCTGCTAAAAATCCACTCGGTGACAAGCAAAAGAGCCAGTCCTTTAAAATGCATCGACATTTCCTAGCGTCACAATTATCTGGCTTCCCGAACGCCGTCGGCGCTGCAGCGAGGAGCACTGGTCGTTCGAGTGTAGTGTTCAGCATCAAACAATAACAGCGCTTTCTAGCGTCTGCTTCTGTGGAATCTAAAATTCCCAGCCAGGTGCGGCCATTCGAACAAAATCCGAGTTGGTTAATTAGAATTACCGGCGACAGTGTGTATCCTGCAAAAACCGACCATGCCTCTTAACTTTACCGGAAATTGTGAGTTTACCTGACTGCTAGAAACTCCTTGACGTTACAATCAAACTCCTGCCCATAGACTAGATGTCATCCACTAGGTCCCTGAAGACGCCAAGTTCACCATGTACTGAAACGCACCGCTGGTGCAGCCTTGGCGGATGTTCCGGCAGTTGTGAAGGTCTGCGATGACGCATTTCCCTGCCACTACTGGCCTCCGCAATCGCAGCGCTCGCCGACGCAAAATGAGTGCCGTCGTTGCCTACCTACCTACACACGCCAACCACGCGTCCTAGGCGTATCAAGGTCAGCCACCTCGCAGCACTTCCGGGATTAATCACTTTGAGCAAATCTGGAGCGTGGGTGGACTCCATTCTAGTCAAATAATCAGACTTGTCCTCTTTGACCTTGATTTGGTCGTGTTCACTTGAGAAGGTCTCAGTGACTCGGTTATACAGCAAAGCCCAGAGGTTTTTTCAAACTCCTCGTAAAAGCCAGTAGTGGCAGTAGTCGCGGCAAGTTGTAAATACATAGATTCCTTAAGCAGTTGTTCATTGTAGCAAATAATTTTCAACGAAGGTTTCGTCTCATTCTCGTGTGCGATCGAGCCCGCACTCTACTGACACGGACCTACGGCAAACGCCCACATTGGCTCAACATTTGCCTAGTGTTTTTCTGTGCTTATGGTCAATTGTGACATCTGTCTACAACGGGAACGGAGTCTCGAAGGATAGTTATCCGCCTATTTGGGGTCTTTAGGCGCTGATACTTCGAGTGGGAAGACCTGTAGCCTGGACCAAAACAAAGGGCTAAACAGAAGCGAAGAGAGGAGTCCCAGGAAGCAGTCTTGAAGAAGGGGGTCCTGCAACGGTTAGAATCGCTGGTCTTCCAACACTACAGGCCGAAGTTCTCGGCCCGGTATGTGGATGATACCTTCGTCGCTATCAGCCACAAACGCAGTTGTGTAAGGATGCTCTATCGGTAAGTCGAAACGCACTGCAATGAGCCGGAAGATAAGACTGCCAAATTACAATAACTCTAACGGGTCTTCAAAGCCCATGGCTACCCGCTCAACTTCGTCAACCGGTGCATACGCAAAAGGGACGAAAGTTCTAACCCCACTGACACCAAATCTTGGCGGGCGCTTCCGTATGTCAAGAACGTTTCAGAAGCTGTCGGCCGCCTTCTCGCACCGCTTGGGGTTGGAGTTGCGCACAGACCGGAGGCAACCATCAGGGGTCAGATAATGAAACCGAAAGACCCACGGTCACGGCTAGAAACATCTGGAGTCGTTTATCAGATCTGGAGCAGTTGCGGAAAAAGCAACTCTGTCAGGGAAACCGGAAGATTACTCCTAACGCGAATGGCCGAACACGCTGTAGTAGTGCGGAGAACTGGCACCAGCTCTCAAGTTGCGGCTCATTCGAAGAGATCCAGCCACACATTCAAATTTGACGAGGCCGAAATTCACGCTAGAGGTGACAATCACGTGAGTTGCGAACTGCTTGAGTCATGGTTTACTGGCCCTCAGTCCATCAACATGTGCAACGACCTTCCCCTTCCATACTCGGTGGTGAGACTTCGTCTAGGTCGAGTTATTAGTCACGCAGAGAACGCAAAGGCGAACACTAGTGCCAACGCCAGGGTCGGTGGGTCAAATGGTTGAGCAACCATTGCACCAACGTCCAACATTCCTGACGAAATTGCAGCGATTAACGTCGCGGAGCTAGCCATTTAACAATTATCACAGCAAGTGCGACAGTCCCTGCTGAAGGGAGGGCCGTAAATTTTCATGGACGTGCAGTAGCACATCGACTGCATCCTATAAGTACAACAGCCCCTTGTGCATGAACTACGCGTATCTGCTACTGTCTCTGAAGATGGGTTCGAGCCGGAATCGGAAACGTCAGGCTAGTAAAGTTCTTGTCGCAGCGATCGTGTCCCTCCTTCTTCAAAAGGCCTAAACGTCCGCATTCCGTCCCTCAGTCGAAGCAGATCAGTGAACACTACTCTCACGTGGGCCTAAATGCTCTTGGTGGCAGAGTAGGGACCTGAAACTCAAGTGGCTGGGACTTTAAACGTACTAACTGGAATTCATATGCCTGGTTTTCGCGGTCTTTGAATGGGCACGGCTGATTGCCGACAGTAAGTACGTTAGAAATGGCCATTGCGTCCTTTGTCCCCTCACTATTAGTACGACTTTAGATTAATAACTGCCCGTGACAGCTTTCTCTCTGATCTCAAAAGCATAATGGAACATCGTACAAACTTGTTGCGACCAAGCGCTGTGGGCGTGTATGTCTTTCATTAGAGCGCTACTATCGTCAGGCCAAATCCCATGTTTGAAGGAAGAAGACGGAAGGCGCCAGAATGAGGGGTTTATTGTGCACAGAATTCGGAGTTGTCCGCTCAGGCGGCAGTGGTCACTGGCGAAACCAGGGCTGGTGTTGACTGCGTCCAGTCAGGCCTGAGAGTCCCTGAGATAGTGGTGGCAGCCGCTTTTACAGGCTCGTGGGCCAAGCTCAAGCGGTGTCCAGTCGGTGTGTGTTGCATTTGCCGAGAGGTGGTGTCCCAGTGGTTTAGGTTGTGGTTGAAAGGGGGCAGTGCGTTCAAGTGGCCGCATGGGCAGCTGCGGCTGTGCCGACGTAGGTATGCCTGAGCTGTCGGTCGTGTGACTTCAGGTCAGTTCGGCTGGAACGTCTAACTGCAAAGGGGGTGAATAGTCTTGAGGCAGCGAGGTCTTGAACAATGACGACAGACCGGTCGTGATGGCTGCCGCTACAAACTTTCCCGAGGCCTTATCCAACAAAATTGCCATGATGGATCAAATATAGGCGATCACTTTCAACTATTCTATAAGCATTATGCCGTAGGTGACGTATCTTCTGAAATGTTAACGCGAATTCTGAAATATGTATTACATTGGAAAGAATTAGTTATGTGGGGTTGTGATATCGATTATCGTGTAGCCTAATCCCAAGGTTCTTCAGCCACGCCAAGATGCCGAATTTTAGATGTGCATTTTTTGGCGGCCTGCAAACATACCGCTTGTAAAAGATGACAACTTATGTAAAGTGCACTTTTGTATCGATTTTCGATGTCCGTAAAATCCAAATATATATATATATATATTTAATGAGAAATGTGCACAATAAAATCAGTCCACGCACTAATCTCATAGCTAATTTCATCTCCTTCGAACTTTGTGTTTGAAGAAGGGGTATCGTTTGGTTTAGCAAACATTGTGATTATAACATTTTTAAGACCGTGAAATGTCCATTTGAGCAGCGTCGTATCTGTCTGTTTATAAATTCTCATCAGGAGGTATACAATAAGTCGCGAAATCTTATGAGCCCTCATGGTATCTACTTAAAAGCACTCGAAAATGTGTCATTTTTCTTAAATGGAAAGCATGCAGCTGGCAGTTTTCAAACCGTAAATGTAAGTGCAACGGCGGGTGGGATTCAGAATTATTCAGGAACTGAAAAGCTTTGAGAACCAAAAGGTACTTTAGATTCGAGAGTAAAATTCATATGAGTTAATTGGCTACCAAATGAATGCAAAAAGGGTGCTTTGCTCACCGAGAATAAGTACAAAAATAAATACTTGTAAGCTGTTTGCAGGCGGCCGGAAAAGGGTACGTTCAAAAGTCCGCATCCACACATGACTGAAAGGCCATGGAATCAGGCTGCACGATAACCGATATTACAGCCCCACCTAATTAATCCTTTCTGGGCGAAAAGCTCTCAGAATTTACATTACCATTTCAGTAGATACGCCACCTCCTGTAGGGATTTTCATACATGGCCACTGTGGTGACCTTAATCTCGGGCGTACGCTGCAACCGTTGCCGACAGTCATTATGGTCATGTCTGGCATCCCTGTTCAGGGTCCCTACGTGCTTCCAGGAGCACCGACCTGCAACCCCTCGACTGACTTTACATCGAACACCCACAGAGTCGCAGCTGCCCAGGCGCCACTTGAACGCACCACCCCCCTGCACCCAAGAATATAAGCCTCTGGGAAACTACCCCTCGGTAAATGTGACACACACCGATTGGAGACCACTTGGGCTTGGCCCACGAGCCTACAAAAGCAGCTGGCACCATTTTCGCATGTACTCTCAGCATGACTGGACGCGGTCAAAACCAACCGTGGCTTCACCAACGACTACTGCCGCATGGGAGTACAACACGGGGTTCTATATGCAATAAACCCCTCAATCTGGTGCCTTCGGTCTTCTTTCTACAAAAAGCGACCTGATTTTACACCCACACCAACACCCACACCGCTACATTGTCATGGATAACGGAAACAATTAAATCAGTAAAATATATTTGCGGCGGATATGCTCCTAGTGACGACTGAATTCCAGCTGCGATTCTAAACACAACGTCCTTGAACAGACTAACTCCGCTATTTGAAGAGGTCTGAATGAATGGAAAGCGTCCCAGGGCTTCGAGAACGTCCTCCCTGTCTACTTATACAACCAAAACGAAACTGCCAGGTGGGCGACGACTACAAGAGAATTTCCCTCCTCAACACTGCAAGCAGGCTATTTGCTCCCATGTTAATTTTTCAGTTGAAAACGCGGCTGAAACAGGAAGCCATTCTGGAAACAAATTGAGGATTTGGAAACCACGGACACGATCCTCGCTAATAAAGGTGGACTCGCCTCTACACCATCATTGGGGATCTTCATTCAGGATTATGATGAGTGGTAGAGGTGCGCTCACCGATCGTTCTTACGGAATTCACTCGTTCCGTTGTGCCTTACCGGTTCTCTCACGAACCCAACCAGCGACCGCACAGCGGCGCATGATACAGGCAGAATGCTGTTACCGACAAAGACAAGGGAGGCTGGCATATCCAACCCCCAATTGTGAAGCACTTGGGGCTCGATCCCGCGATCTGTTAGTTAGAAGTGGGATTAAGCCCCAGGTGCTTCCCACCTCCGGGTTGAGTATGCCAGTCTCCCTTGTCTTTGTCAGCAACAACACTCTGCCTATATTGTGACGAGTGTTGTTGCCGACAGTCATCATGGTCATGTCTGGCGTCCTTGTTTAGGACCCCGTTGCATCAGGGCATTCACCTTCGCAGTGAGCGGTTCCAGGCGCGCTGGCCTGCAGCCCCTCAACCGACTTTAACTCGGACACACGTGCGTCCATAGGGTCGTAGTCGGCCATGTGCCACTTGAGCGCACAACCTCGCCCTGCAACAACAACGACGTAAGCCACTGGGGAACACCACCCCTCGGCAAATGCAACACACCCCGATTGGAGACCACTTGAGCTTGCCCCAAGAGCCTATAAAAGCAGCTGCTACCGCTGCCTCACTGACTGTCAGGCATGACTGGACGCAGTCAACACCAGCCCTGGATCCACCATAAGCCGTTGCCGCCCGAGGGGACAACCTCGGGTTCTTTAAACCCCTCATTCTGCTGCTGTCCATCTTCTCCTTACAAGTCGGAATTTGACCTCATGATCGTAGCGCTCTGAGTGCACACTCTCACTGTTTAGCCGGCACATACTACTGCGTCTCTTTTCAGCGCATGCTCACACATACGCATCAGGCAGCGGTGAATTGCACCGTCTTCAAGAAGGACTAGCAAAGAAAACCAGTCTGAAATGGCAAGTGGTGAACAAATCTACTCGATAGGTTCGTTTTGACCAATCTAGGAGTCTCACCCGGACTCATCGTCATAGAGGCTCACAGATAGGCGTGTTGACTGCCCGGCTGATAAATATCTTGTTCCACCGATCGCATCTTCTTTCGATGAACTGCCTGTTGAAACTCGCATCTTCGCCTTTATCGACAAAATTTGTAGGTATATTTGCCCTAAAATACCGTGTCGTCGCAATTAAGCTAAGCAGCGATGCGACGAAAGCTGCCCAGTCAGCCGGGTCGTGCGTTTGTTACCCCGCAAACATAGCGACTTTGAAGGCATCGTAAGATTTTTTGAGCAAATGACAGTTTCTCTTCAAGTAGTGCAAGTGACTGTAGTTGTTTTCTTACGGCGTCTGGTGACTCTCCTCTCCTCCAAAAGGGTACGAAGACACTTCGCGGCACATGGCACAAGCAGACAGCCGTCATCGTGCTGGCCTTCGACAACATGGACGGCGCCATGATGCTCTATAACAGTCTGCATTTGTACACCGAGTTTATGCAACATGTCGAGGTATTCATACCTGCGCTATGCAATCCGGTCTTGTATGCGGAAGGTGAGTCAGCTCCAACCCGTCTCTGTTTTAATCTCTTCGGTCTCCTCTGTTTGAAACCGCACTGGCCCACTTCGAACCATGGTACTCTGTTTACCCCTGGACATGTTTAACGTTTTGGTAGCCCTTATCATACAAACTTCTCTCACTGAAGGAGGCAACAAAAACCTCCTCGTGCAGAAATATGTAAGAATCTTTCGCCTCGTAGTGCGTCATCACATCACACTCATTCCAGACCCCTCTGCACACTTACCAGCTTCCTGTACATCATCAGCCTGTGTCATGTGATGGGCAAAGGCGTGCGCTATTACCCAGCGGAAATGATTTTTCTTCTGATCCGCTTAGCCTCTGCAACAGGTTAGTTTTTGCCAATCACAAAGCTCGAACCATAAAGGAAAACATCTTGCATGAATTTTAGGTCGTTTGGGTGCATAGACTTGCACCACTTTTGCCTACGAGCTGTTACCAGTGTGATTGATGGGTTTGGCGATCAACTGCCGACCGGAGGCAAAAAAATGAGACAGTGCAGGTGATCCAGCACATGGAATACGTCTTGAGCAAAACACAAACCCACCTTCCAAAAAGGACGGCTAACACTCCTGGATCAGCGCTGGTATCAGAGATTTAAAGATGATCTGAAATCTTTCATGATAAGGATCTTGTTCGTTTTCAGTTTTGTGCCCGAAAAACCATCATTCAGTGTAAAGTAAAACGGCCCATCAATAGAACGCTTCAGGTTGTCGTTCAAAGAAATGTTTACATACGAATTAGGTCGTTGCTCGACTTAACTCTATATTCGCAAGTTCTTGTCGGAACTAGAAGACTCCAATTTAAAGCCAAGATTACATTAGGAATTACGCTGCGATGCTGGGGATTTAGCATTAAGCCGAAGTTCTCGCAAACTCGTTGCACAGTCGCAGAAAGTCGCTTATTACATGATACTGGGATATGAAGAATGGTGGGTGGGTTTTTTATGCTAACAAGATCTTTTTGTCTTAACAATAGTCAATTGGAGCCCGGATGAAACTCGCCTACTGGAGATTTCTAGAGCTCACTCGCATTTGAATTTTACACAATCGGCTAGTAGCGCAGCAGACACTCGTAGAATATTGGATCGGACTACTTATGCTTACCTTGAGGACCAAATTTCAATCTTAGCCTCTCACTCCTCGATTCAGCTTTTGATCACGAATCCAGCATTAACTTCAGTTGGATCAAACATTTAAATACTATGCAAAACGTGTTTTCTATGGACAGATTACATGCAGGAAATCTCAAATAATATTAGGCTCTTCTAACTGACCTTAGATTTGCAAGGTCTTAATGTAACATGCAGACCCCTCCTTGTGCACAATAGTTATAATTCTGTTCAAAGAGTGTAATTTTTCCTTCTCCGTCCTTCTGTCTCTTGTCAAAAAAAAACATAAAAGAGCTCGTCAAAATAAGTTTCCACGAAAATTTCAGATGTATATATTTTACATTGTTTTTTGAAAGCCCATTACTCATAAAGTTCTCCCATATTTCGCTCTAATCTCGAAAATTACAAAAGATACTGTAAAATTTGTTCTGGGGTTTGACACTAGGTGCAGTACGTGATATTTAAAATGACTGCAATATTGTTCACTAAAAACGCCCCGTAGAAACTTAGAAAACATATACGGACAGACTAAATCGAACTTCTAACACTCCGATTTCGCGCCAACTGCGCTGCCCTCTGAGTTCTGTATACCACGTTTGGTCCATGCAGACGACCGATAGTCCCGTAAAACGACTCTATTATTCAGTGTGTTGTTCTCAGTCAAGCAAACACTCTGCGTGAACTTTGAGGATCGGTGGCCCTATTTTGTCTGGTTTCCCACGTTTTACCACTACAAGATTCTACCGTCTTCTACTTTTGCCAAAAAATATTCTGGTTATTTCAGCACCATTGTCTGATGAATGAATGGAAGTGGACACTCGGAGTGTATGACTTGCCCTCCCAACAGTTCAGTTAATACCGTCTTACATAGCGCCAAGACTGTTGGTTAAATCATTAAACCAGTTTTCACTGACGCAGTGTGGCTTGAAGCCGGACAAGGGCTTTTCTGAGGAATTCTCCACATATTTCCGTCTTCATCAACTATTTGCCGGTCATGACGTAGAAGATCATAGGGAACAAGAGTCAAATTCCGCCAAACGTCCGCAGAGTCATAGGGGCTTGATCGTTTCCTAGCACTGAACCTTTTAAGTGGGCTGAAGAAACGAACGATTAAGTGTATATGCAGAACCCGACGTCACATTGGCATTCGATTATTTATTGCTAGTCACAATGCCTACTTATATATTGCATAGTAGATACATTTATTTAAATTAGATCATTGGGACTGTCAAGATAGGCCAATCACGGTATTTCCACCGTAGTCATTGAAGTTGCTTTTCCGTCTGCGAATTCTTACCTGCTTGAGCCCGCACTCAGCTTGCAGTGGCCCTTGTTGCCCATGCTTTTGGGGTTTTGAGGACAGAAATCTGGCCAAGCAACACTACTGACAAAGACATGGGAGACTGGAATGGCCATTTCTGACTTATTGATCGTCAGCCAGTCATACCCAACCCCGAGGTGTGGACCACCTGGGGGTCGGCTCCGCGACCTATTGATTAGAAATCCAACGTCCCCAACCACGGAGCCATGGGCTGGGCATGGCTGCCTGACGACGGCCAATCAGCAAGAAATAACCATTGCAGTCTCCCTCGTCTTTGTCAGTAATGCAATTCTGCCTCTATTACGCGCCGCTGTGTGGCCGCTGGTTGGGCTCGCGAGAGACCCCAAAGGCACAATGCGACGATTGAGTTCCGTAAAAAGATTGCAGAGCGCCCGTCTACCATAAATCCGACTGTCTAGACAGTTGAATGGATATAAGTAGTTCTTCACCGGCTGATAGCTTTCCTAACTTGGATCTTTTCCATTTCTTCCTTCCACCTCTCATTTAAAAACATAACGTAGCTCGTCAGAATAGAGTTCCACAAAAATTTCAAATGTATACGTTTTCCGCCGTTTTGGATGTCTAATGCTCGTTAATGCTTTGCGAAAGCATGGTCCTGTATTGCAGCACCTTATTCTCCGTTCCAATTAGTTGCGTAGATGAAATGTTTTCTGCTTTGAAGTCCTGATAGCTTTAAGCTGGTAAGTTGCAGCACGAACTCCTTAAGAAAAGACTGAAATGATCACATTTTCTCTTGGAATAACTTTATCAGGCCATGGAGTCGGGAGGTGATTTGGTCCTGGTAGTTGTTTAATTTCTGTGTAAATTGGTTAATCATGTACTCAGGCATTTCGCTTGCCAAGTTCTGCGAAGATTCCCACATTACGACTGAAGATTTTCTGTCGTTTAAATAGTCCAAAACTGACTTCATCTGAGACCTGATCCTGAAAACACTGCAGCCCTGAATTCTTTCGCTATGGGTAGGCGTCTACTATGATCTAGATACGTTGCTAATCATACATTCCTGCGTAAAGCAGATGGTAAAAGATGTAGAGGAAAACTTCTGCAATTCCCTAAGGTAGGCTACTGAAAATCGGTATTCGAGAGTCGTCTTCAACACTTCACATGAAATAGGGGTGTCTTCATTTTTCCAACACCACCGGTGTCATGGTGAGGTAGCAGTGTCTCAGTAGAACTGAGATAAAACCAAAGGCTTAAACATGCAATCCTTGTTGCGTGTATGCGCGGGCAATATGGGAGATCAGTCGTCCGTCAGATATGCTCACTCGGTTTCCGTTTGCAACCAACAGATGTTCCGTCCCGAAGGCCCACTCAGATTTTGAGTATTTTGGAGGTATCTCCAGGTGTGAGGCAAGTTGGCAAGAAAACTGACTTTGGTAGCCGCAGTCCTTCGCTCAGGGGGAGAGATGGAACTGAACGGCTAACCTTAGCTTGGTCTCTCGCCGTCTTCGCTGGAAGTAGATGACTAGTAAAAATGCAGTTATACAGGATACAACCAAGTAGATATTAAAACGGGTACTACCTAGGCAAGATATCTGAGCCAAACTGGAGTATTCATACATGTGTGACAAGTGAGGTGCGAAGTACGTGGGTGCGTGTGACGTTCACCGATCCGGTCTGCCTGACATCAAGGCCGAATGTGGGTCTTGCTTTAGCCAAGGACTCTGGCGGTCGTTCTCATAAATATTGTCAAAACTATTTAAGGGATGCAAGCAACCAAGACGGGAAAAACTGAAAATTTTGGCTTTTAACCTATCGGCGGTCATCAAGCAGTCAAAATCACAGCACCAAACCGAGTGAACCCAAACACTGGACCCAGATCTGGATGCTTATTCAGTCCGGTTGAACCCGGAGTTAAAATAGGCAGGATGAAATACGGGTTCACCCTGCCGCTTTGGAGCTTCGGGTTGAGAACGAGCCAAACGGTCATTTGGCGAAGAAAAACTGGTAATTCTGCTACAGCGGCCATAGCTGTGACTCAATGCTGGATCGTTTGATGGACCAAAACTGCGCATTTTTAATAGGTAACTGGTATTATCGAAGACAAAAGAAGATGAAACCGGGAAGGAAACTGGGAAATGTAACCTCGAATCCTGAGTCGTACCGGCTGGCAGCAACAAACCAGTCCGAAATGATCATTCCAGCCTTCTTCCTCTCCGTTGGCACTACTCTCCAACGAGGTTCGACTCCTGGTCTACCTGAAAACAGTATGGATGAACAGAGCTGGACGGCTCACGAATGTAGTCAACAAACGACTTAAGTTACTTGGACAGTAAAATCGAACTACTCGACTTGCAGACGTTGCAAAGCATGAAACCTGTACCGATGTCAGTGGTTTTTTTACAGCTAATGGATCAATCCACGTTAGCAGAGTTCCCTAAACTGCTCAAATCCCCGCTCAAAACTCCCTACATATCCTGTTGAAGAAGGAATCGGGGTTTGCGAACTCCTTCCTGGAAATCTGGCTGACTGGAAATGTTACAAAAAGGTGAAAAAAACCTTCCTAGCCCACCCCCAAAATATTAGCGGTATTGTGATCGCCAAAGCGGGAACTCACTTCCAGCAAGGTCACTTTATCGCGTGGCGATGGCCGAACTTCCAGTCGACTATGCTGATGTCTAAACGTCTACTGGATATGCTATTTTGAAAAAAACGGCTAAGATAGTAAAAGGCTTGAAAACTCCTCATTTATAACGAGAATCTTTTAAAAAACGACTTAACGTTAGCTACCTGTATGAAACATGGCGCTGACAAAGAGACGAACGATCGAGACACCTCAACTTCAGGATAAAGACGATTCTACATTAGTCAAATTGTCATTTGTGTTATAAGACGTCTGGTGTATTTTGGCGTGTTAGCCTCTTTGAACAGTTTGCCACGTCGTAGAGGTCGAGATAAGCAGCAACGAGTCTGGTTCCATGCATGACTCACTGCACTTAACAAAACGTGTTCCGTTGCGCTGTTAAGCACCGTTGCCGGAGTCAACACGCGAGTGCTCTCTAAGACGTCAACTACTTGTTCCTACCTGTTGATCACACCACAGCCCAGACAGGGCCTGCGCAAACAAGCTACCGTGATGACTCACATGGCGGTAAAACAATCCTTCTGCCGGGCTCTCCTCCAAAGTCTCCGCGTTGAAAGGGCGTTAACCGGTTAGCGGTTCCCTCCGCTCGAGATTTCCGATCGATTTGAGCCCTCCAGGACTGCATAAATAGACGCCCGGTGGGCTGTGCAAGCGGTTTGCATCTGACTCCGTTGATCAATCCAACGTCCCCGTCACCTGTCTGGGCAAGGCTGCCTTCGGGAGGTGCGCAGACTTTAGCAGTCGGATACCTCTCTTAGGCAAGTCTGTGGCGATCCGGCTCGCGTCAAAGCAAACCTCCAAAACTACCCTGAGATGATTCGCAGCGCTGCATTCCCTGCCAGTGTTCAGGGCAGAGGGCAAAGACTCATCGAAGAAGTCGTTGTTGGAAAAAATTTGCTCTTTCGCAAGGATCGTCACAGGTTTACCCAAGGGAACCAACCCCGCTGCTAGGGGAAACGTCGTCTCCTGAAGGAAGAGTTGGTCAGAAGGAATCGGCGCACGTCGGATGGATGGGGGCAGTTCAGAGCAACACCGCCTTCCCGGCCTCCAGCCTCAATCCTTGTAAAATTATGACCTTAAATATACTTCTCTTCCCTATATGTCTTTTATAAACGGTTACCACCGCCCCGTACCAGGGATTCTCAGTCGTACATAGAATATGGTCTCTCAAATCCGTCTTTATCTGGGATCATTCGCCATGTTTTTGACTGGTATAAACTGATCTAAAGTGTGAAGTCGTTGGATGGGACCTACGTCGCTTACACTTCCGGCAAACTAACTTGTATGTGACTTCCACAGGTACACGACACAGAACTGTCGTGGGCATCGGGTCGTTAACCCAAACGTTGGGATTTATAAGTGCTCTTTAGGACCTTAGTCAGAACATTTTGACTAAGTATAGTGAACAAAATTCACATTGAGCTGATTCCCCACGGTTCTACTTCGATGGCTCCTCTAAGAGTTGTCTTTATTCAGACACGTATCCGACAGAAAGACTTAGTCTTTAAGAGGTAATGGGAGTTTAGTTTCTCCGCCAGACACTCACTTTTAGACATTTTAATCGTAGATGGTTCACTCGTTCGCTCCTCTTCCCAGCAGGGTAAAAATATTCTTAGGAAGTTTGTTACTGTCTGAGCTATAAACCGAAGGGTATCTGGAGAGTCTATTCTTGATATTTAAGAGGTAGTGAAAGTCGGGGTTCTCCTCCACACATTCACTTTAGGACATTTTAATCGTAGATGGTCCAGTCGTTCATGCCACTTTCTGACAGAGTAAACGTATTCGTATTAAATTCGCTACTGACTGAGCTATGAGCCAAACGACTGCTGGGAGTCTATTCTGCATTGTTTCATTGAGTGGGATGTCTTATTTCGTCTTTAATATGGAACATAGAAAGTTTCAAAAGCATTAAATTCAACTTGAGAGCATAAAACACTATCGGTATAAAGTGAATAAGCGAAACAATGGAGCAGCAAATTTACCTTCCAAGCTTGTACACACATTTAAAAGACGGTCCTTGTCTACTTAACGTTGGCTATTCCCATCGGGAGAACACCAAGTACGCTCATTCCCGACCCGCTCACTCAAGGCCTGCGTCCACAAGCCAAACGATTGGAGGCCTGGGCGTCTGCCGCGGTGTTTATTTATACCCCACCCTCAGCCAATCAAATCTTCCCGTATTGACAGCCAGCGAGGCCGGCAATTTGTCATGAACGTGCGAGCACCCTGGAGGGTGCATCAGCACGTATCTGCTGCCAGGGCGCTGGGGGCCTACCGTGGTAAATTCTCGCTGTCAACTGCTCTATCCAGGCTCGAAAGCATGAGTTTTGTGGTTCAGTAAACTTGACTCCGCGATGGAAAGACCGATAGCTGGTTCTAGACCATTACACCAAAGACTTGGAACAGTTGAAACGCTCGATTGCGACCGTTATCACCTGCATGTTAGCCAACTGTTTTTTTTACAAAAAACCAACAAAACTAGAAATCTCAAATGTTTTTGTGTTCATTTTGAAACTCCTTAGAGGTTATTAACGAAACGCTTTGCACGCTTTGAACCTCTGTGCAGTATGATGTACTTTGTGAAAGGGCTTATTGCGGTTTCTAAAACAGTTCGTGGTTGTAAGGTTTTTCGAGAATTCCGTATAATTATTTGCTCATTTCAATATCAACACGTTTATTTGACGTTCGCTCGGAAAGTCTATGATTCGATGGACATATGTGTTGCACTATTTTGCAGGCACCAAGAAGCATCGTCTTAGAATCTGATTTGATATCAGAGAAAACTCATAACTTGCAACTTTTAAAATCTAAGAACTAGTTTGGACGTAGGTCGTGCTGCAAAATACATTGGATTCGATAAATAAACTTTGAAACGAAATACTGCCTTCTTACAAATGCTAAACTTACTAAAACGTCCATTCCCGTTGTAGAAACTAAATACCTGTATACCTTTTCTGAGAAGTGTTATTTAATTAATGTAAGCATTGACAATCATTGTGGAAGATTCAGCGTACTGCCTAGTATTGATTGACTTAGATTGTATTGTACCCCCGCTTAAGTTATCATATCAGCCCTAGATGTCATAAGTCCCAGTGTGCACTGTAAGTGTCGAACATCCGATTGATTTTCGTCTTCCTTTTTTCCGCTTACACTGGCGCAATCCAAGCCATTGTTGTGGCATCGTTCTTCGCGTTCATATATACAGGACCATTGAAACATTTCAGGCGCTCTTTGTAGAGCTCACAATATGCTGCTCTAGCGCCTAGTCGATTTCCGGCATATTTTTGTGGAAAAGGGACGCTCTCCGTGAATTTTTTGAGTACTTGGCCTGTGTTTGCTCTAAATTGACTTTTCAACCTAAAAAAAACAAATAACATGGGTTTGGCATGTGCCCTTAGCCTTGACGACAGCGACTGTGCCAATAGGAGAGAACAGGCGAGCTCCGGGGAGATGGATGAAGGGGAAGGATAAAAATTATAAAAATAATAATAATCATAATAAGGTGCGATCGCTGGAGCAAGAAGTTTACTAGACCAACATTTCGGATTCCCACTCGAATCCATCTTCAGAGACAGTTGAGTGCGAATCTGAAACGTCAGGCCATTCAAGTTCTTGTTTCAGCAATCGCATTATTTTTTTCTGAACAGCGACTCTGCTCACCTGAAGGATGTAGCTTAAACATTTTTGTCAAAGAAGTTAGCCGGACGGCATTTCAATGTGCACGAAGGATACTCCTCTGTCCTGATATGGTGACGTGGGCTGTGGCCTTGGAAGCAGTTTCGATTTAGAAATCGACATCTGAACTGACTTAACAGTCGTTTAGTCCCTCAGCAAGCAGTAGCCAACACTGGTGGTTTCTAATCTTGTGGCTGCTCAAAAAAAGAGATCGAGATCTCGTTGTTCTGTCTTTTCAATTCTTTCCAAGACCAGGTGCACTTTTCTCACTTGTTTTTAACGTCTCCTTCACACTTTTTCGCCTTTGACCTAAAATTCATGCAAACTCGTGTATAGGCAAGTTTTTCCTATTTTTAACTGAGCATTCTTACTCCGTCAGTCCACGGCTATTTTTTATCGCACACAGATAACTGAGTTAGGGTGACTCGCACTTGACAGCTTAATTTCAATGCCCTTTGTAGCTAGCACATGTGCCCATGGGTTCACAGCCGAGGTCTCTTTCCATTCAAACCACCTACAGCATACTCGACAGTATTATATGCAGCACTGTAATGTTTCTAGAAGCCGATGCTTATTAAAAAGAGGATCTGTGGTCCCCTTCGTGGCTTACCTGCACAAGATTTCTGAAGTTCGGCTGGGTGACCCTCAGTCGTTTACGTGCACTCACTGTCTGGAGTAAAATCGTGCCGGCAGAATGTTATTACCGACAAAGACAAGGGAGACTTGAATGGCAATTTCTGGCTTATTAGCCGTCGTCAGCCCGTCACACCCAACCCCGAAGTGTGAAACACCTGAGGCTCGAACTCGCGACCCGTTAGTTGGATGTCCAACGCCTCTAACCACCGGGCCACCGGTCCGTTGTCCAAACGGTTGTGATTGGGAATATACAATGGTAGAGGGGCGCTCACCGATCGTTCTTACGGAACTCACTCGTTCCGTTGTGCCTTACGGGCTCTCTCTCGAGCCCAACCAGCAGTAGCACAGCGGCTCATGATATAGGCAGCTGTTTCACACATCGAGGTCGGGTATGACGGACTGACGACGATTAATAAGCCATAAATGGTCATTCTAGACTCCCTTGTCTTTTTCGTAGTAACATTCTGCCTCTATCATGCACTGCTGTGCGGCTGCTTGTTGGGCTCGAGCGAGAACACGTAAGGCACAACGGAACGAGTGAGTTCCGTAAGAACGATCGGTGAGCGCCCCTCTACCATTAAAATCGCACCCCCATTTTTCGAGTCGTTGGCAATGAGGTAATCGGTACGCAGGAGAAAGCTGATCATCATTAAATAGTCTGGTCGAAATCCCACCCGCATACCATGCAGTGCTTAATAAGGCTGAATAGCGAAGCACAGGTTCGAACTTGGAAACTGCCAAAAAAATCTATATGGGTACCCAAAATGGCGTAGGACTGGGCTGATCGCTTAAGTTACAAATCGAATTCGTTGTTTTGTCACATTTCGAACATCATGAAAGGCCTCGTATGAAGGCTTGAATGAATAAGGGGTTGGTCCTAACAGTCAGTTCTTAATCTGTGATTCTTTACTACTTTAAGAAGACTCAAGTACAAGAGAATGAACCGATTTCACTACCAAAAGTTAAACAGACATTGATGGCCACTTCTGTAGGACACGAGCTGCCTGCTTGTAGGCCATATTTTGGTCCCTGTAAAACTTGATGACTAGTCTGGATTCTATGAGAACCATCGGTTAGCAGGAAGTTTAGACCTTGGCAGAGGAAAAGTACTTAATGGAAAGGGAATCCCTGTGCAGAAGTAGGACACACAGTAAATCTTTCCAGGGTCTCTATGAATAATCAGTCATTCGGCCTCTCTCTCTCTCTCTGTCCCTTTATAGACTACCAGTACCTTGAGCTAACATTTTACGAAGTCAAATATCCGAGGCGATTCCAATGGTACGTCAACCAGTTGCCTCAGTGGTGCAGTGACAATGGCGGGACCTTCCTCGGGGGCACCTCCAGGGTGAACCAGATGATGGGAATGACACGGCCCAACTACATTACGGTGACTCAGTGGAAAACGGAGGAGGATTATGCAAAGTACCATCGAAATGGTAATACCAACGTATTCCTGACCCTATTCAATACTGGGCAGTCCGGTTCCATTTTCAAGTAGTTTACACTAGTAATTAAGTTTGTTTAAAGTCCCCAAGTCCGCAAGAACCAACATGAAAGCACGGACATAGTTACGTAGATGGTTTGCTCAAGGTTTTACTCACTCGCACTGCCTAGAAGGTGTTATGAGAGAGGGTTCCATTGTTTTTTGCTGTATAATCAGATACTACTTGCGCGGGAACTTCACCAAACTTCGAGGAACTTTGCTCCACCTGGACGTTCGTAGACATTCGTTTCACAGCAGTTGTCTATCGTGGAACGGACTTCCCAAGGAACTAGTAGTGGCAGACTCATTAGAGGCATATAAACATAAAATGCGCGTACATTTGCTTTAAAAATACCACCCAACCGGATAGAACAGCTCTGAAACCCCAAATCAACTCTTCCCATACACCTGCTGCAAACGCGGATGACTATTTTTTCATATTCAAGTTATCTTCGACGATGTCCGGGTTTCAGTTCTACACTACTACAATAAGATTAGGTTAAATGAATGTGTTACTGACAAAATGATAGTAACAGGTTCATTTTTATTTTAACATTGTTCGTAACGTTTTCTATAGGGGTCTTCATAGACACTGTCTTCTACCAATTGTAGAGGGGGCGCGCACTGGTCGCGTTGAGTAACTCACTCGTCCCGGTGTGCCCTGGGGTTCTCTCTCGAGTCCCGGCAACAGGCACACAGCGACGCATAATATAGGCAGAAAAGCACTGCCGACAAAGATAAGTGAGACCGGAATGGCCACTTCTGGCAGGCTGATGACGTCTAACAGGCCAGAAATAGTCATTCCACTCTCCCTTGTCTTTGTCGGTAATGATACTGCCTATTAGCATTAAAGTTACCGAAATATAATAATAATGTACCTCTATGGATACTAAATAAAACAATTTACTTATATGTTTATTTAGAGAACTACTCCAATTAGCCCTAAAACAGCTTCAAACATCAGTTTCTTCGGTTAGGGATCGCAGATTAGTAAAATGCATGTCATTTAGCAGCCCCTGTAGAGCGATGGAAACGTTTGCATGGAAACATTCAATAAAACAGAAAACTTAATTGATTAGTACTAAATCATGATGAGCAAACATGTCTCATCAAGTTATTTTTGCTCTAAGTGTACCACAGGGTATAGGCAGATACCGAAAAGTGCTACTTTCAATAAATAAAATCCGAAATTTTTAAATTGTTCAGCAAAACATAAAAACTCTTGTAAACAAGTTAAAACAAGAGCTTCTACGACTGGCTAAAAGTTGCGCGACATGCGTCGACTGCAGCAAGTTCTCGACTCCTTTCTACTTATCCCTAAGTTTTATGCTTGTAGCATTTGAATCGAAGAGCCTACCTCCTCCAAATACCCTGACTCAACTAATCCCTGACTTTTCTTGGCTAGAAAAGCCTCAGCGATGCAGGTTCCTGCCCATTCAAGTGTTTTCCTTGCGTTTGGCATTGCGTAACTATCAGGGAGTTGGGATCACCTCTCCGTACCGATTCAAGTAGATTTCTCCCTTGACCG